CGTACCTTACCACGGTTACCGTCCAACTCTCGCCGAATCCTCCACCAGTTGATGTCCTCGTTCGTCCTCAATGTCCACTTAAACTACCCACGACCTGTTACGTGAAGCGACCCAAGCTGATATCGTAATTTTAGCCGAAGATACGAATGCTAGAATAGGACGGTGAGTAAGGCACATCTGGAGGATCTGTCCGGATTACATTCCTGTCGCTCGGAGAACCGCCTAACCCTTACCAGTACGAACTTCAAACGCTCCAACTGCCGGTACGCCACTTGGCATCCGCCATTGTTGAGTCAGCGATGGCCGCAAATCGACCATATCGCTATAAGACACAAATGGCGCGGCTGCATACAAGACTGTCGACCGTACTGGAGCACTCGCCTCGAATACGACCATGCATTAATTTGCACCAAACCGTCCAAGTGCTTCGGTGAGCGTTCGAAACGCACGACATAACGACGGTTAGAATGTGGTGAGCTATCTGAACCAGCTTACGTAACTGTCTTTCAAACTGCGCCAGTTGAAGAGCTAGACCCAACCCCACTCGATAACATTAATCAGCACTGGTCGCTTATCCGCTGACTTATCTAGATGTGGTCTGACACATCGTGCCGTAACACCCTAGATTTCTGCGGAGTCTCGACGCCTTCTCGACGCACGTCGGTCAATCACGACCAGTAGCGAGCATGATGAAATGACACGTAATGGGTCGTAACCTCAACGCAAGCCTACGCAAAAACCGCCAGAACTGGTGATCTCAGCGCACATCACAGATGGAAGGTGCTGCCGCCACGGGAAACTCCCGTAAGCTGTTCCATCTCATCCGGATCACCGGTAGGAAAGCTTTTGGTGTGAGCGGAACCATCTGCGAAGCTGACAGTTTACCCAGTCATAATCAACAGGCTGGGTTTCGCACCGGTCGTGGATGTAGCGATCAGATCTTCACCCTCCGACAACTGCTAGAGAACCGTTATGCTCACCAAAAACTGACAATCATCCGCGCGGCCTTTGACTCTGCCCAAAGAACTGCACTATGAAACTGTTTGTTGAGGAAGTATGTGTCGATCCTCAAAGAGTTGTGTGGTCACACTTCAGGTCCGGTTAAGGCCTATGGCTAGCTTTCACCACCCTTCGCCGTCTCCAGTGGAGTTAGACAAGGCTGCTCCATATCCCGATTCCTTTTCAACTTTGACACAGAGGATATTTTACAGGATGCTTAGTTCGGTCTTAAAAACGGTGGCGCCGCCGTGACATTCAACCGTCCCTTCAGGGCAGGGCTCGTAGTGTTCTACTTTGGTTCAGTCTTCAGTCCAGATTGTGTAAGCACCAGGAGTAGATGAAGGAAGATAACAACCGAAACTGTATAGCAATCTAAACATCAATGCCACATTGCTGCATAATTCTCTATACTGCCAAACTGGTGCTGAGGCCTGGAAGTAGTACGTAGCTTTGGCTCTGGTGTCGAAGGAGTCGAACTACATCAACTAAAGAAAATCCGTACAAACCAGATGAGGCAAATGGACCGGAGCACACTACTGTGCGTTACATTACGCATCCTAATTGTGGATCAGGAAAAGGTTTTGATTAGACTACTGCTTCAACTCTAGTACAAATCAGTAGAACAGGGTGGCAGATTGTAACCAACACGGGTAGAACGTGGAACACAACTGCACTTGACGATGTCCAGCAATAATCCTGTGTGCCCTATATGAAAGCTGTCTCGACGCTTGAATTTCACGTTTATTTCCTTAAGGATGATGGTATATCACCCTATTACTTATATATGTTTACAATTCACAGTTCACATTAGCCCCTACCACCTACCCACAAACACGTGCCTGTACTGCCCACCACCTCAATCGAACTGCTATGCTATGTGAGATCGATTGTTGGTTCCGTCAATATGTTTTTGTATGTCTATGTGCTGTGCACTTTACTACGGTCTCTACAGGAAAATCTAGTCCTACCAGTCAGTGTTGTGTAAAATTCGCTAAATGTCAAGTGCAATGGCATTTCGGGAAAGGGATGCTTACAATTAACCCATATCTTAATTCACGATCCGTAAGACACTGTTTCCAATGGGAAACAGATTGGAGTATCAAATTGTCAAATGTCAACAAAAGGCAATGATGCGAATGCACCAGAGAAAAAAAGAAACATGTGCGAAAAACAGAGTCGCCACAGTCCGAATGGAACATGTATTTCACTTACTCGATTGTTAAAAATCATCTGATCCGTACGGTGCCCGGTGCCACCAAACACACAAGGAAAGGTGTATATCGAACCCCAATCCAGCGTCACATTTTCAACCGATTGGAGCAAAGATGCGGCGACTAAAGAAAGTATGGCAAAGGTACAACGGAACAAAATGGGGTGGGAATTAGTGACCAAAACATTTTTCAGTTCATTTGTTAACCAGAGTATACTAAACCATTACAAAGAACAGTCACAAATTACCAAACAACTGTTTCAGCCTGAGTAATCATGTTTTTAAAACTAATGGACCATATCGTTGGTTACCGTTCTTTAAATAACCGATTAGAAAGTGGATATATGAAAAATTCATAGAATCGCAAACGCAAGTGGAAAAAAGAAGAACAGTGAAGTAGGGACGAAGTCGTTGGGTAGATATAACCCAAATATGCTAAAAGCAGAACGAAAAACAGATCGAAACATCAAATGCACAGGTTCAATTAGCATAGTCAAAGTTTTGGACAATAAATCGGACTGAGAACTGCCCTTGTCTGCCCTGGATAATTCTACATGGTGCTCGGGAGTCAGCATGCTCCCTGAGAACTACTTTATTCTGGGACAATCAATTAGAACTAGAATTACCGGACTCAGGCGATTGGTCGGAACCGCCAACTAATCAAGATGGTTGACAGCAATCCAGTCAACGAATCGTGTGATATATCTATTCCCTTGTTCTCTCTCTTCCCCATAAATATTCATGATTTTTGCATAATAAACGAATTTCTACACGCCTCCAGTTGTGCTCCATTCCACTAAGTGTGGAGTTCCTATCTAGACGAGAAAACGTTACCGGAATACGACCCATTGAGAATCCAGTATCGAGAAAATCCTGCGCGTTTAAAACAGATGGAACATGAGCCACCATGAAGTTACACCTGGCTTCGAAAGCATGTTCTGGTGGTATCAACGATGGATGGATGTGCACTTCTACATCACCAAGTGTTTGATGAGTGAGTGTGCACGATCGACAAAAACCTAACAGCAGTTACGCAATAGGAATGTTGAAGGGCAAAACGAATGCAAACGCAGATCTATGTCGTCAGTCAGTGATGTACAGATTAGTTACCGGAATCCAGTAGCCACATAGGTGCATTTAATTGATCACAACTGATCCAGGATAATGGCTAGTTTACAGTGCACTTGCTGATCCCTTGATCTCGAAATATCCGACGAATTATTGCTAAATGTGTTGCGATACACTTATTATTGCAATCACAGGAACCATTATTTTTGTTTTGCAATGATTCTTGCTATGGGTAATTAAGATCTTTATTACACTGCGTTGAAGTGAGATTAATCAAGCTTCTACGGGGTCCTGAGGACATCAGCATCAGCTGGTTTCGAAAGGACCGGTGAGTACTTTAAGCACGCAGGTTCCGCATGGTGGATCGCATTTACCCGCGTTTTTTTGTTAAGGTCATTAGAAAAAACATCAGAGTTGACGAATTGCAAATAAATTGAAAACAGTGAAAACGAATGTAACTTGACAGTTGATCATTTGGTCTCAGACGAATTTCTCTTCTGTTAATACAAATGGGTCTTGTGGAGGAATGCATGAAAAATATCTGGAATATGATTCAAAGTGATATCCCTTGAAACCTTCCATTTGAGTGTATGCTGTGTCTCAGAAACACGCATGCAAAACCCTACATTCGATTAGTTCCCTGCGTTCTTCTAATCCAACCTCATCCTCAAGCTGCACCCTTCGTGTGTCAGGCGATTCGGCATCCGATGCTCGCTGTGTTGCTGCCTTTCGGGATTGCGCTAAATGCCAAGGCTGAGCGCTCGCTTCTTGACTGGATTCCAGTCAGTAGTCCACTGTGCGCTGTACGTCTCAACGGTTCAGTTCGACTCAACAACGAAGCGTTGATGCTCATCCGTCGTATCGGTGTATGCACCGACCTATTGTAATACACCTGAAATCAAGGATGAATTCTACAAAGATCTTTCTCAATTACTCCAAAGTGTTCGGTCAACGGACATCGTAGTAGCCGCCGGAGACTTCCATGTTCAAATGGGATCACTGGACGAGACAGAAAGGCTCATTGACGGACCACATGCAATCCCAGCCAACCGGACGGACAACGCCTAATTCAGCTCTGTGCGGACCACGGATTGTTCCTGTTAAGCACTAACTTCTCGCACAAGAAACGACACCGCCTTACATGGAAATTGCCAAGCGCTGAACTCAAATCTACCACATTGCCGTGAGTTTCCGCTGGAGGGGGTCGATTCAAGACTGCCGCTCTTACTGGTCAACACCTGCAGATACGGATCACACTTTATTACAAACCAACTTCTCTTTACGCCTGACAAATGACTACAAAAAAGCCACCGACAACGGATACCCACAATACAATGTCAGCGAACCAAATGACTACCTCGAAGCCATTCATGCATTCAGGAGCTTCGAATTAGAATGCTGAAATTGTTTGCCTGATTTTCCTTGATTATACCACTATGGTTCGCTTGATAGCGATATTTTCACTCAACGTCTCTTACGTGCAAACGCTCTTCTAAATTATTTATCTTTCAGGACGAAACTCACCTCTTGTAAAACTTCGTTCTTTTCTAACATTAACCCCGGTGTTTTTCAAGGTACCGTTTTGCCCCAATTTCTTTTTCCATATACAAAAACAGCCTGTCTGTTTTTGTTTACTTCATTACCTGTAAGTATCCTGACGATTTGGTGAATGAGTGCCTCTGTAATATCAATGACTGTTTCCGGCAACTTCAAGACGTTTTAAACGACGTCTTCGGTTGGTTTCTGTCCCGATCCCTTATGTTTGATGTGTCAAAATGTTCAGATGTTCCTTTTAACCTTAAATCCGACCCCCATTATCACACTATCTGTATACGTGAATTAGCCGTTAGTGATCACATTCCCAAAGCTGACTTTGTTAAATACTTCCGTGTCGCTCTATAACAACCGCTCCTGAACTAGCCATGTAGATAATGTTTACAATAGGGTTCGTAAACTTCCTTTTCGCTTTCAGGCTTGGGAATGTGGGTGTTCCGGAAGATTATTTCTAAATTTGAGGACAAATGCATTCTTTCTCTGTGCCTGTACTGTTTCCCGGCTATAAAGAAAACAGATTTCACATTAATTTCCAGATCTATCAAACCTTTTTCCCCGATCGAGTGGTATAGCCACCGATGTCCTGTTTCATTTTAAAGTGTGCAAGCAAAATGTTGCATGTGAAAGAATTACTACTAGTAACTTGAACACCGAGGCTCATCGCTGGCACAACGAAATTCTCAAGTACGTGTCCCTGTACACACCACCACATACAGCAGCATCCTACTTTATCTTCTCCGTTTTAATGAATCGGAGACCAACTATTGCAGGTCTGTTGGAACAACTCTTGAATTAATTTTTCGACTATTATTATTGCCCGTAGAGTGCTATCGTTTTTTCTCTCCCTCCACATTCCGCGTTTTTTTCTTTTCTGTTCCCACTGTATTCTCGTGAAAATTGCTGAAAATTCACCCTTTGGGTGCATAGAGTCTATTTTGACTTGACTTTCCGTGCCTTCGAATAGACAAGGTGTGGAAAGTCTGTCGTAGTTTTGCAGTTTCTTAACTTATAAATCAACTTCAGCTATATCTATCAACAATAAGCCATTTAATCGAATGAGCGAAGTGGAACTCGGACGACCGCAGTTTTTGCCAAACACAGTGATGAGGTTAGTGCAAATCCAGACTAAAGCACAACGTTTTTACCGTACAGTACAGTTGGATTGTATGGTTAAAGTGTGTCAATAAACTCAATGGTGCAAGAAAACTATTTGCCATCGCAATCTCTGTGTTACCGTGAGATGTAGATGTGCCCATTCAAGGCCGTTTCTAATAGAATCAAGGGCCTTCGTAACCGAGAAAACCAGCGACATTATAAAAACTCCGAATCAACAAATAAACTTGTTGATTTGGACTCTCTTCCTCACTCCAAAAATATAGCAGCAACAGGATCTAACAATACTTGTCTTAGCTTTGATTTTCAGCGAATTCGATTGCCACGTAACAGTACAATTGTGGTCATTGCATACTATTTTGTACATCAATGTATGATCAGATATCGCCTGTACATAAATCGGTTGACTTACTCATCAGAGAAATACTATACACGTAGGTCTGCCGAACCAAAGTACCAGGAATGTAAGCAGTACAAATGTACAGATGATCGGAATCCTCGGATCGGACGCGAAGAGTCAGACTGCCATTGGGATTTACTTCACGGTAACCGGGAGTTTCGACTACGGCCTCTTGTCTCACCGTCCAAAACCGTTCACGTTTTTCGCCACGATCGGGCAGGCCACAAGAAAGTAAGATGGTCTGATTAATGCTTGCGGATTTGGTGAACACAGTGGGCTTCTTTGCTTCGGCATCCGAATTTGTTCCAAGACTACCCCGATCGGTACCTGAAACGAAAACAGGATAATGATGGTGGTTTATTATATACGAAACACCGCTATCTAATCGTGAAACTTCCCGAAACAACGTAAATGAAAATGATCATATGAATTGTCTGCTTTTTTGACCGCCAACCACGAATTACTAGTGTGAACAACTACTGGTTTCTTTGTGAATAGGAAGGAGGACTATAGGTAAAATATGCAGCAGAATGCTAGCAGTACTAGTAGCACTTAAGCTGTAAAAACACAATGTATGATAAATAAACCCCTTGAATCAATCTAAGACTTGGAGTAGAAAGGTATATAAATCCAAAAGAGGATTGGCGTGATACTGAATAGGAAAAAGCAAAGTGGTTCACCACCCATGTTAGGTGACCGCAACGATAGTTTTCCAACAACAAACCCCAGGGCCCGTAGCATGCCAAAGATAGCAACTCTATGCGCTTGACATAACTTGGGCTTCAAGCCGTCATTGTATGCTATCAACTCACTCAAGATTATGGCGTTTGCATAACCCGAAATCCGGCACACCGATCGGATAGAAATGCTAATGACTAGCGCGGGTGCAAGATCCAAAAGTGTACCCCACAAATGAGGAGAATCGATTGTTACACTCATCTACAAGAAGGGCTGTTGCAACACCTGTTCCAATCACAGGGGAATCAGTTTTTTATCACACCAGTGTAAACAGCAATCGGGACGGACCCCATAGTCACGAAGACCTGCTGTTCAGTGATAATAACCGGCAACCTAAGCCTGACTCAAAGGCTGTTTTATTTGACAGACTAAGCCCATTTCGCGAAAGGCAAATCCGCGAGGAGCAGGCCAGGTTTCGTGCACGCCTTGGTGGCATAGATCAAATCTTCACCCTTCATCAGCAACTAGAACACCGCCTGCTAAAATCACGATATCAGCCCGGGTCGCTTTACGCAACAG